GCCAAAGTACATGATAGTTCTAGAAACGTTGCGTCACAGTAGTCATGTGACTCGATGACGCAACAATATGTTCAGGGGTACCACTGTTTTTGGTCTAGGGTGTATAATGTACATTCTTTGTATAATCTTGTTCAACATGTGGAGGCTTGACGTGAGAGTCTCGGAACAATTTACCAATGAAACTGAAACATGGCCAGATGCTCTCTACTTAGTTTTTGATCATTCAAAGTATTTTGAACACATTTAACTTTAAATGCTTGCGCAAAATGCTAAATTAATGTTTTATAGATACTTCATAAAGTGTAGCCTTTTTTTCTGTTTTTAGATAATTTCGATATTTTATCTCTTTCTAGGTTGTTTTTTTAGTCGTGTGTATATTTTTCTTTGTCTGACTATTTTGGGGAAACTGTTTTTGTCCCTTTGTACTGGTGATGTGTTCTTCAGTTGTAAAGCAGGGCAGACGGGACTCTTTGGTTCTAGAAAGTACACAAGCAAGGATGCGGCATATTTAGAAGATTAATTTAGGACGCCCCCTGTCACTTTACCACACCGAACCGTAAACCAGTCGTCGGCATGTTGTTATTCTACTTCTATTAACCATAAAACGCGCTTCTACACCGAAATGTTATATTTGAAGATTTATTTTGGATCGCTGTTTTTCTTTTCCTTTCAGTCTTATGAACTAGAGTACAAAAGTGCTTGTGGTGAAAACTACTCACAAACAGTGCTAGACTGAATCAAATCAAAGTTAACTTTCGCAAACAATTTATAATACAAAGTGTGTACACTTTGGTACAATATTACAAAATGCAGCCATTCGTGTCGGTAGAGTAACAATCTTCGAATTCTTGTAAATAGAAATAAATACTCTTTTGTAGTGGCGTATTGTTTCTGATAGTGTATTTAATAATAAAGAAGAATTTTGGATCTAAGTATGAGTTCTGTTTTATATTAATTCACAATAACAGCATAAAATCACTATTGGTTTTGTTGATCCTTTTGCCCATGCTTTAATTTAAAAAATAAAATAAAGAAGACTGGAAGAAATTATTGGATGCTAGTTGGCTACCCTGTCCTTATTATAATAGTAATTATAGTGGTATGTTTCATAAAGTTGAATAGAGCTTTCCACATATTTTAAAGCATATCAATCAAACTTGCTAGTAATGAATAAATTGCTTTTGTTTTTTTTTTTTCATTTGTGATGTTTCTAATGTTTTCAAACACAAGAAATTAACTTCAGGTTACCTCAACTTTGGGAAAATTTGCGATTTTTAAAATGATTAAGATAAATTTTGAAAGAAATGTTATAAATGTACGTTAAAAAGCAAAGGAACATCCTTGAATTTTGTAACTTTTTTTTATCAATTTTAATAAACTTACAGCCACAGCAGGATGACTTGAAAAAGTCTATGCATCTTGCTAGTCTAACACTTAAAAGAAAGGAATGAAACACTAATTTTTCGGAAAGAAAAGATCTTCCTTTGGTTATATTATGTTCACTCGTTAGGCCTTGATAACACTTCACACTACCGAATGTTTTCCTACTACCTTGAATCAGAATATTTGAACATATCAAAATCGTGTGCTAGAGCTAGTTCAAACACAGATGTATTTACTATTTAAATAACGCGATTATGGTTATATTAGACAACTCTTAAAAGGAATATCTGCATGTGAGCTTCAGTTTCGAGATATATCAGCTATCGTTAACCCAGTTCGGCAGAAAGTGTATAATGCTACTTAAATTGAACATAAATTCCACAAAAGCAACCATATTTTTACTAAAATGGTCAATAAAGTTAACGTCTGTTTAAAAAAATTAGGAACTACCATATGAACTTTATAGGACTTTGTTAACTATTGAGTATCACATGTTTCGTAATACAGAAGAAGAAGTCAACAAAATGAACGTAATGTTACGTCTCTGGTCGTTTGTTAATTTCCGGTATAAATTCTTCCCGAGGAACTTCAGTGATACAAGTCCTTTCTTAAATAAAACTAGTTTATTATTTCTCAATACAACTTTGCAATACACAGAATTTCCACAGTGACTTTAACTTAAACACA